AAAGCTTTCTTACCTTGCTGGCTTTTGAAATGGAGAATAAAGCTCATTATGAGGAAGATGAGCCCCTGCACAAAGTCCTCAGCTCCAGTCAGTGTCTTGCTCCATGCAGAATCAGACTGGGCCTCTGGGAAGAACAGACCTATGGTCAGTGATGAACCCCCTGCTACACCCCTGGGCCTTGTCTGAGATCCTGGAGCCTTACCTATAGACTGTGAAGAGAGAAGGGAGAGAACAAGGCCAGGCCTGACCCAGTGTGGAAAAGAAGCAGGTATGGAAAGCACCCCAAAGATCCAGGCTTCAGGGTGGTGTCTTCCCCAGGATGCAAATGCCGATTTTTGCGTCTGTGCCACATATCAGCCCATTAAGTGCAGGCTCACAGGCTGAAGGGAGATGTCATTTCTCATGTCTGGGGGCCAGCAGGGAAGGTAACTGCCTTCCTCAGATTTTCCAACAAGGAAAGATTCCTTAGGATCCCTCAGGTCAGGGATACACATGTGCTAAGATCACCAGGTCTCCACTGTGCTCAGCTCAGAACCACAGTCAGGGGATTGATTAGGAAAACCACAGGGTGGTGTGACCCCAACGTGTAGTGACAGAATTCAATATGAGGGGACCCGAGAGCCAGAGCATTCCCTGCTCTGTAGGCTGTGGGATACAGCAGGGCCAGCAGGGAGTCACTCAGTCCACTCCACGGTGACAGGACTGTCCAGGCTGGAGTGCTCCATGTGGCAGGTGTAGACGTCGCCCTGCTGGGGGGTCATTTCCAGCATCACCAGGATCTGGAAGGTCCAGTCTCCATTACGGATCAGTTCAGTGGACACAACCCCAGCTGTTTCGTCCTGTCTATTCCGGAACCACCAAACTTGAATGGTGCCTGGATAGAAGTCTGTCAGGTGGCAGACAAGCAGGTTGTGGCATGCAGGGGTCCCTTCTTGGAGGGGGAGACGTTCACTTTCGGCCAGACTAAGAGTGAGAAAAGAACCTTGTTATAACAACTGAGGCAGTTCAACAGTGTGTTTAACTGTTTACTTTGCTGAATCGATTCCTAGATGTTTAAAATGCATATATCACCTATTTAGGTATTTGGAGAGAGAAGATGGGGAAAAGTCTAAGAAAAACAGAATTAGACATTCAAATGTTACAGGAACGACCTGTCATACGTAATAAAGAAAGAGCAGAGAGGACTAGGCCAGAACAAGGTCAGCATCCTGTAGCACTTTCACCAGAAACCTAGAAGCTACTACTAATATTATTCACCCGTTGTCCTTAAGTCAGTTCTGACTCATAATGACCCCATAAGACAGAGTAGAACTGTCCCATAGGGGCTCCCAGGCTGTAATCTTTACAGGAGCAGATTGCCACATCTTTCTCCTGTGTAGCTGGTGGGTTCGAACTGCTGACCTTTCAGTTAGCAGCTGAATGCTTAACCACTGTGCCACCAATGCTCCTAATATCATTTGGACAGCAAATATTTAACCAGTTATGAAGCTACTGAACTTTACTTTTTTCCATCTTATTCAAAAGGATGCATAATCCTTTAAAATGTTGTCTTGCAAAAAGAATATTCAGTCAACAGTATTCCTTTGATGTATCAGACTGGTAACTTTATTTTAAAAATAAGAAATGATGTCACTTGATTCATTCTTCATTTATCTTATATGTCTCTTAGCCTCCTGTATGAGGGAAAAAAAAAAAAAGTTTATAGCAAGATCCACCAACCCAGTGTTCTTAGCACTTTCTGTTTCATTAACAGGGAGTCTCTCCCTTTCTCAAGCTGTCTGGCCTCCCGTTTTGGCTCAAAGCACACAGCCTGGGACATGCTGGGGCTCAGAGATGAGGCAGAGACCTTTCCCCTCCTCTGCTAACTGAGTCCAGCCTTCCAGGGGCTTCTCTCTCCCACCCAGCCCCTCACCTCTGCTTGAGGGTGAAACCTTTATCCAACTCGTGGTTGTGTTTGCACTCCATGTCCACGGCCTGCCGTCTCAGCTCCAGGAACTCCTTCTGGATGTTCCAGTTCTTGGCAGTTGTCTGGCCCAGTTCAGTCACAGCCTTAAACACTCCCACGTTGCTGTCAAATGGGATGTATTCTTCTCTGTTGTAAACGTATCAGTCCAAGAAGCGCTGGGTCTCTTTGAACTCAAAGCAGTCGTTCCTCAATATGGTGCACGTAAAGCTCTGAGGAGAGTGAGGGGCCAGGGTGGGCTGAGCCCGGAAAAGCCCCGATGCCCACACTCCCGGGCTGCCTGCCATCAAGGGCGTCTCTGCCTCTTTCTCTGTGGCAGGCCCCTTCATGGCTGAGTTGAGTAGCCGTTTCCCTTCTTTTGCTTCTTTTCTCCTGGGCCTCCATCCTCAGTCTAGCAAAG